CTTATTCGAACATGTTCGGGAGACCTCGAGCTGTTCCTTTCTTAGTGCGATTTTACTTGGCACTTTGTCGAACATGTCAGGGAGACCTTGATTTGTTCCCCTTTTAGTGCGGGTTGACTTGGCCCTTTGTCGAACATGTTCGAGAGTCCTCGATTTGTTCCCCTCTTAGTGCGGGTTGAATTGGCACTTTGTCGAACATGTTCAGGAGACCTCGAGTTGTTCATCTCTTAGTGCAAGTTGACTTGGCACTTTGTCGAACATGTTCGGGAGACCTCGAGTTGTTCCCTTCTTAGTGCGTGTTGACTGGGCACTTTGTCGAACATGTTAGGGAGACTTCGAGTTGTTCCCCTCTTAGTGCGGGTTGACTTGGCACTTTGTCGAAAATGTTTAAGAGACCTTGAGTTGTTCCCCTCTTAGTGCAGAAGTACTCGGCACTTTGTCGAACATGTTCGCGAGACCTGGAGTTGTTCCCCTCTTAGTGCAGAAGTACTTGGCACTTTGTCGAACATGTTTGGGAGACCTCGAGTTGATCCCCTCTTAGTGCGTGTTGACTGGACACTTTGTTGAACATGTTCGGGAGACCTCGAGTTGTTCCCCTCTTAGTGCGGGTTGACTTGGCACTTTGTCAAAAATGTTCAAGAGACCTCGAGTTGTTCCCCTCTTAGTGCAGAAGTACTCGGCACTTTGTCGAACATGTTCGGGAGACCTCGAGTTGTTCCCTTCTTAGTGTGGGTTGACTGGGCACTTTGTCGAACATTTTTGGGAGACCTCGAGTTGTTCCCCTCTTAGTGCGGTTTGACTGGGCACTTTGTCGAACATGTTCGGAAAACATCGAGTAGTGTTCCCTCTTAGTGCGGTTGATGGGCACTTTGTTCAACATGTTCGGAAAATTGAGTTGTTCCCTTTAGTGCGGGTTTACTGGCACTTTGTCGAACATGTTCGGGAGACCTCGAGTTGTTCCCCTCTTAGTGCAGGAGTACTTGGCACTTTGTCGAACATGTTTGGGAGACCTCGAGTTTATCCCCTCTTCCCAGCTAACACACAACGTAATCCCAACGTTAGCGGAAGGTTTTGGGAATGTCAGGTCAGACCTAACTAAACCACGACATTCCCACGACGTTGTTTTCCCGTCGCGATATTACTATACGTGTTAATAACGTTGTAGCGACGTAGAACTTGGACGTGTGACACAGGTATTTATTTAACGTTTGTGCAACGTCCTTTGTTAACGTCGAGACGACGTCAAAGCAAAACGTATTCATAAACCTTCAAATAACGTAGATACAACGTTGCCATTTTCGAATATATATATATATATATATATATCATAGTGACACGTGATATCTGTTTGAACTTTGAACGCGTGTTCGTCTTTGATCGTCTCTTCCCGCTGTAAAATTTTTACTGTTTGAAGCGTGTTCTGTCGTTCTGTCTTGGCTATTGCTGGAGTCATACGTATTATTTACAGAAGATTTTGTTACGGATATTGTCGCTTGATTTTAAAGTAAGTATAATTATGTTACCTATATACAGAGAATACTAGATTTATAAGACTTATAAATATTTATACCAAGACGATCATATACGTTTATAGCTCTCACTAATTATCATATATTTAATATTGCGAAAGTATAGCGATTTTAGAGGTTCTATCAAAGAACGTTTGTGTAGAATATAAGCCCAAAAGCACGGGATTATATTCTTACTAGCTAGTAATTTAATGTGTATGAAAATATTTACATATATTGCGAGGAAAGATTTTAGGCATGTTAATATTTGCATTTAAGATGGCCGCCATATGGTGGTTTTCATCATCCTTTATAAACAGTTATCGTTTCATTAAACGGCTTTATATAGAATAATTAAATCATAGTTTAAACTTTAAAGGAAGATAAAAGAGATATTACACCTTTCCAAAAATACGGATGGGCATGTTTTAAGAAGGATTGAAATCGGTTGAGTTCAATCCATCAATAATTGCCAGTTTGGTCTGATTCAATCAAGTATAAATAATTTTATGTTACTCTAGTACATTAGATAAGGTGTAAATTGTCTCTCTTTTATCTTTTTATATGTTTAATAATTGAAGAGCTTATTCAAAAAAAGTAAATTGATCATCCACTGTTATAGTCATACAGTCATACATGATATAGTCATAAATGTATCATGTACAGTATGTAAGAAATAATGTTTGCTGTGCTCAAATTTGCTTATTTTAACTTATTACCTCTAAAATGCTCCACTTAAATCTTTTTCATTAATTATCAAATTGCTTTTTAAGGTAATTGAAAAAATACAGTATGTGTAAAAGCATGAGAGTTGACACACATTCTACAATTTCCCAGCAAGCAGGAGCAGGCCCTTTATATATATGGGCCTACATGTATATAGGCCTACATGTAGTATGGCACTGTGATACCTGTGTGCACTTAAAATTTGAACTTGATATTTAAAGTTCAATGTTTGTGCAACACAACCCATTTGCCCAGCTGTGACCACAAATTCATGGTATAGATTTTGCAGTTTGCAGGTTTTGATAATTAATCAATCTTGTTAAAACTAAAACAAATTTTTGTTGCACCATAATATATAGATCCTTCATAAGAATGCACAATAATAGATCCTACAGCATGACTACATCATATACTTGGCATTTTTTATTATTCTGAATGCTGTAACATTAATATTGAATAGTTGTATGACTATAATATATTTTAAAATATTGGTATTTGATTCAAGTAATTACTGGTGAATAATATATTTAACAAATAAGTTTTAAGTTTGTCAGAAGTTTTGTTGCACCCACAAACTGTGTTGAATTTTCATGGGGTGTAGTTGACATAGTCATTTTAATTAAACAGGGAATATAGAGAAATACATTCAAAGAGAAGTGGAATCATGAGTAATTGTCACACAGAAGTCGATTTTGCAATTAGAACTGCTCAATATTTTATGTTTTATTCATATTGTATATTTTGCATGTATACCTACATTTATGATAGACTTAATTAACTTTCATATTTTAAACATCACTGCAAAATTTCAACTGCAGGTAGTTTCTCAAACCAAAAAAAAAGCAATGAGTGATTATATTCTGTTGTTTATTGCAGCTTCATAAATGAAAGCAAACCGAGCACAGTATAGGAAGAACTGGACTGCTGCAGCTCGTAGTTTAAAACGTACTAGTGCTCCCATTCCAGTTGAAGTTGATGATACTGAATTATTTGAACTACCTTTTGATTCAGCACCCCCGAACCATGACACTGTAACTGTGTCAGATGATCATGACCTGCAGCCTGTTAAACGTATCTGCACCTCTGTTGAGGAAAATCACTTAAGCAATCATGATAGGTTAAATTTGGATGAGACTTGGCATGATAACTCTATTTCTTCATCAGATTCTGAGAATGATAATTTGTTAGATGATTCTCTTGCTGAAGGCTTAACCAATTGGGCTAATAGGTTTATGATAAAACATAATGCACTTGATGGTCTTCTTTCTGTGTTGAAAGAGAATGGGCATCCAAACTTGCCTCTTACTGCTCGTGCCTTGCTGCACACATCCAGAAATATAACCATTCAGGAAAAGTCTGGAATGGAATATGTTTATTTTCCCCTTGCTAATCAATTGTTGAAACACTTTAAGAAATATCCTTCAGACATAATTGCTAGGACTAATTCTCTTGAAATTTCTTTTGAATGTTGATGGTCTTCCATTATTTAAGAGTTCAAGGAAGTGTTTATGGCCAGTATTATGTGCCATTGTAAATTCACACCTGTAGTTGTTTTCCCAGTGGTTTTAACCTGTGGTAATTCCAAACCAGTTGATTTGGATTTTTTGGATGACCTAATTGGAGATTTGAATAATCTTCTACAGAATGGGCTCCAAGACGGTGAAACTGTTCTTTCAGTTTGTTTAAGATGTGTAGTTTGTGATGCTCCCGCTAGAGCCCTTGTAAAAGGCACAAAGTTGTGTTCTGGCTATTTTGGGTGTGATAAATGTGCACAGAAGGGCATATGGGTTGGTCGTGTTGTGTACTCTCTGATTAGAAATGTTGAGTTGCGGACAGATGTTTCTTTTAGAGAACAAGTGCATGAAGGGCATCATAATGGTGTTAGTCCCTTCAGTAAATTGCCAGTTGATATGATTAAGAAATTTCCGATTGACTACATGCATCAATTGTGTCTGGGCGTCATGAAGAAATTGCTTCTGCTATGGTTACGAGGAAAGCGAGAAGTTAAGATATCGGCTGGCCAGGCGGAGTCTATCAGTACTAAATTGATAGAGGTCAAGTCTTCCATACCCAGCACATTTGCACGTAAGCCACGGAGCTTAGCAGAAATTGATCGGTGGAAGGCCACTGAGTTTCGGCAATTTCTTTTGTATACTGGAAAAATTGTTCTATCCGGTATCCTAAGACCAGATTTATATGAGCACTTCTTATCTCTTAGCGTTGCTAGCTGCATTTTGGTGTGCCCTATGTTAGCTAAGACTTACAGGGAATATGCGAAGCAACTCATGGAATACTTTGTTGAGCAAGGCAAATGTTTGTATGGTGATGAGTTTTTGGTATATAATGTGCATAGTATGGTTCATTTGGCAGATGTGGTTGAAGAGTTTGAAAGTTTAGACGCGTGTAGTTCTTTCCCATTTGAAAACTACATGCAAAAGTTGAAACGTCTTGTGCGATCAGGGAAGAGTCCAATTGCACAGATTGCAAAACGCATGAGTGAACACTCTGGTTCCATTGAACTTGTAGATGAGGATGCAGTCAGTGTAAAAAATCCAGATAATGTTTTTATTTTGTCTGAATCATCATGTTGTGAAGTAGTAGATAAGACTGGCAATCATGATCACAATGGGGATGAATTATTTCAATGCCGAGTTTATAGCAAAACTGAATCCATCTTCATGACTCCATGTGATTCCCGCCTCATTGGTGCTTACAAGGCTAACCAACGCTGGACAAATATGAGACTACTGCCTTCCAAAGATCTCAAGAGAAAAGCCATAAAAATTAATCTTGGCCCTGACAAAATTATATTCATGGCTATATTGCACACAAAATACTAACAGCACTCTGCACTGAAGGTACTGGTTTTAATTATAATTCTGCACCTCTAAAATCCCAAAAAATTATGCAATTTGTTTAATTATTGTTTCTGTTATAGATGGCAAACAACATATATGCTGTCGTTGAATTTATAGAGGAACAATTAGTGGAAATTGTTGCAACATGTTGGATTGAGACAATTGATTGTGTAAGTAGTTAGAATTTGTTGAATTTTGTTCACTTGCAGAATAGTTCTTGGGTGTTACCCAGTTTCCTTTTTCTAAATTGTGATAATTGCTGGCTAGATTTGGTTGTGAAAACAGGGTACATGTATCATGCCAAATTTTTGACTTGCTAACACCCTAAATAGACCATTCCATGATGATCTTATGTTGCTAAATACTCTAGTTTAACAGTATTTTTGTTTACAAAACTTGTCATTCTAGGAATTATACTGCTACTGGCCACGAAATAATGCATCTCATAAATTAAGGAAGCTCGAGATTCCAGACAAAGAAACTTGGATTGCTTATAAAGTCAGAGTTTTCTCATATACAGGTTTGTTTTTAATAGCTTTGAAAATTGTGTCGGGAGCTTTTTGAAGGTTCCAACCATTACAGTAATGGCACTTTTTAACACTTTATCTGGACACCTGCCCTGACAAGTAAATTGCCAATTAGAGTTTTATATGCCATGTTTTATTATTATTAGATTCAGTAGCAAAAGCACAAAAGATTTTGAAAAGGGCTGAAGAAACATCAAATGTTGAATCCGATTCAGATTCTGGCCATGCAAGAAAAAGAAGGCGCACAAAAGCCAGTTTATTTGAATATTCAGAAGGCAGTGATAGTAAGTTCTTTGGTATTGCTCAACAGGCTACTGTAGTTGAAATGTTGAGGGCATTAGGTTTATATTTCTTACATAGTAAGGATGGGATTTTCGCCCTGAGAAAAAGTGTTCTCAATCATGACCAGGTGTGGTGTATAGCACTTATATTGTTCTGCAACTGAGGTTATAGTTGTTTCTCTCATTTACATTTTAGCGGATGAAGATATCTCAAAAAATGGGAAAAAGAAGTCAGCCCCTACATCATCTTCCCCAGTTATTACACCATTGCTCCCTGTTGCACCGAGCTTTTCATCAAATCCATCGAATGAAATGAGTCTGCCCATGGCTCAGAGAAAGGGTTTGTCAACCTTCGATGTGAGCAATAGCCTGGGTCATCATGATGTTCTTCAAGATGGTTCAGTTGTAAATGCAGTCAATCAGGTGTTCTCTTTAAATCCCAGTGGTAAGCATTGAATGTGTTTTTATGTGTAATTAAATATGACCAGTGCAAATCACATATTCTTTTGAATAATTCGCAAAATCGTCTTTCTAATGCCTGATATTTTGAAAGTAGTTAAATAAGGTCATACTTTTTAGTTAAAACGTTTTTATTGCTGTTGTATTAATTTATACTTTGTTGATATTCAGAAATTTTTAGTGCCCTGAGCAATCCTCTCACTGATGCATCTAGGACCAGTTTAAGTTCTGGTGTACAGAATGTCCATGGAAGTAAGAATGTTCCATTTGATTTTCTAGCTTTTATTGTACAGTGTACTGTATGTACGTGTATTGAGTCATTAATTCATATGCTAGGCCAGACTGAGGCTATTTTTTATCAAACAGCTGTTGGAACTCCTGAAGGCAACAGGAATTCATGTGAAAGAAGCCAGCATTGCAGTATGTATACTTGATTTCGTTATGCTTTGCCAAAGAGAAATATTTTATGTAGTGGTAGTCTTTCTCAAACAGTTACTAAAGAAGAAATCACTATTTCAAATCTGGACATAGCTTCAAGGAATAAAAATTGTGCTCAACTTAATGTTGCATATTTTATGTCTATACTGAACACTTTCTTGCTGCAATAACGGGTCATGTTGTGAAGCCATGACAAAATTTTAAGTACTATTTAAAACACATGTGTTTTATCACATCATTTATATGTCATAAAACATGGCCATTGTACATATGGGTACTATATATTCTAGAACATTGCGCTATATTGTTCAGAGTCAAATTTATAACTTTTTGCATTTTCAGTAATTTTCTTTCTCAATTGTCAGGTTCTGGTGCAACTACAGACTCTTTTGAAACACCAAAATCAGGCAATCGCAACTCTCTACATCAGGATCACGACAGTAAGTTGGCGTGGTTTCTTTAGAGTCCATGAGATCTTGTCTGATTTTTTGTTTTGTGGATATGTTGTTTCAAATTATATGCACGTAATGTAATAATTTAATATTATGTGCATTTATGTTTTCTGGGTGGCCAGTCATTTCCCAATATCAGAAAGCTGGTCATCCATTCCTAACAAGTTACATAATTATAGTATAAATACATTTTAAAATGTCATTAGGCTTTCAAAGATCTGTTCTGACGAAGCTTGATATAATGCTTGAAAAACAAGAAGAAGCATTATCAATTTTGCGGGTAGTACTTGGTGCCACAGAGGTGTTAGTGGAAATGACTGCTTGAGGATATTATTCCCAATCCTCTGGACTCAGTTGAGGAATTGGAAAACCTTAATGATCGACTTGCAGATGAAGATGCTAGGAAAAAAATGGTAATGAGCATAATGCAGACACCCTGGTTTGCCATTTGTTCTGCCACGTACTGTTTTTGTTCACGATAATTAATTAATATAAATATTTTACTTGTAGTTACAATTCTTCCTTGCTCTGTGTGGGCATAACCATGGTGTTAGCACAAGAAGAATCCTGGCTAAGGTTGGAAACAAACAAGCTGTGGTCATTATAGTCTGAAGGGGAGAAAAGCAAAGCGGGCATTTAAAGAACTTGCTGTCTCGAAAATTGTTATCAGTAAGTATAGCATAGTATATTTGTACATTATTGTTTGGCCCATGATATTTTGCCAGGCTTTACCAGGAAATAATGAATTATAATGTATTCTGTTTGGTGATGAATGTACCCATGTACTGTACAGGTGCTTTAGTGCTAATCCACCTTTCGAACAACTGGCTCATTGCTATTAACCATTTCTGATAATTAGCTATAATTGTTCTATTTTTGTTTAATTATAGAGGCCTGTCTACGTGTTCACAAAGGTGTAAGTGAAATAGACATCGAGGAACAAATTGCAGAGTATTTGAAGCATGCTCCACAGAAATCCGGTGGCTCTAGATACAAGGTAACTATAACTCACCTCTATAATTGCTAGAGTACGAGGCTCGCATTACAGCAATGCGGACCTCTTCACAATCTTTGTCACAATCGAATTTTCAAACTCTAATACTAGCCACTAGTAAGGTGCAAACTACATATACAGGAGACGCGCGTCTTACGGTCCGTATATGAAAATTATCTTATATAGACTCTAATTAATGTTTGACATATTACCATAAATTTGAAGGGCTTATATGTCCAACATATACCTAACATTTATTGCGTTTTTTTCTTTGCAGGATCGTAGGAACCAGGAGCAAGGAAGTGCATAACTTTTATGGTGTACATTTTATCTAAGGCCTATCTACACGATGCGATTTATAGTGGTATGCGATTCTTATCCAGACGTATGAAAACGATTGCTGATGCCAGTCTTTCTGTTCCTCAGTTTATTAAAACGAAATTTAAAATTTGACATCTTTACACACGTATTTAATCGAATACATACGCCGGTATATGAATCGCATACGACTAATCGCATCATGTAGATAGGCCTTTTGGCATGATATACATATATATAATACAGAATATTGTAAATGGTTTGATTCGTATTAATTTTATACATGTATACACAGTTAAGTTTTATTTAAATAAATTGCATTCTATCCTGTACATCATGTTGTATTGTTGACCAATAATTTAAGCAAGATAAAAAATTTTAACATGCATATATTGCATGAAATTTGATAATTCAAGGACTTGTCTGAAAAATGCCTTTCAAACTAATGAGGACGTTTCATACCAACAGTTAAGTGAACGTTCACTGTACGTTGTTGGAACGTTCCAGAAACGTGCTATGAACGTTGTATAAATGTCCGAACGTCGACCGAAGGTTGTACGAACGTAAAACTGGTACGTCAATCCCGACGTGTTTAATCCGTTCGTGGGAGTTCACAAAAGTACGTTCTAACGACGTTAATTACAACGTAGTGTGTACGTTCGGCAAACGTTCGTACAACGTTGCTACAACGTAATTGTGTTAGCTGGGTTAGTGCGTGTTGACTGGACACTTTGTTGAACATGTTCGGGAGACCTCGAGTTGTTCCCCTCTTAGTGCGGGTTGACTTGGCACTTTGTCGAAAATGTTCAAGAGACCTCGAGTTGTTCCCCTCTTAGTGCAGAAGTACTCGGCACTTTGTCGAACATGTTCGGGAGACCTCGAGTTGCTCCCTTCTTAGTGTAAATTGACTGGGCACTTTGTCGAACATTTTTGGGAGACCTCGAGTTGTTCCCCTCTTAGTGCGGTTTGACTGGGCACTTTGTCGAACATGTTCGGAAAACATCGAGTTGTTCCCCTCTTAGTGCGGTTGACTGGGCACTTTGTTCAACACGTTCAGAAAACATTGAGTTGTTCCCCTCTTAGTGCGGGTTTACTTGGCACTTTGTCGAACATGTTCGGGAGACCTCGAGTTGTTCCCCTCTTAGTGCAGGAGTACTTGGCACTTTGTCGAACATGTTCGGGAGACCTCGAGTTGTTGCCCTCTTAGTGCGGGTTGAATTGGCACTTTCTCGAACATGTTCGGGAGACCTTGATTCCTTCGCCTCTTGGTAGCGATCTAAATCGCCACTTTTTTGGACATGTTCGAGAGAACTCGTTTTCCTCTCGTCTTAGTCCGGGTCGAAAGCGCGACTTTTCCGAACATGTTCGAGAGACCTATAATAGTTTGCCTCTTTTGCCGTTTATGTTCGAGAGACATCGATATGCTCCCTCTTCTCCTGAACATGTTCGGGAGACCTCGAGTTGTTGGCTTTTTCCGCGGACATGTTTGAGAGACCCGGACTTGTCCTGCTCTTTGGTCGACTTCACCGAGGATGTTTGATTGTTGGAAAAAAAAGAAACAAATCGTAGAACAACGGCGTAGTCTCAGCAGATCGTAGCAACAAGGTTACTCCTGCTTACAATACCCCGTTCTTTATTTAAGTCGTCTGCAAATGATTTAGCTCTGGAAAATTTAGATTTTGATTGTTGTAGTGCTTTGCAGCATTGTCCGCTCCGTAGGCACGTTGTGACGCAGGAGGCGCAAATGTTCGCGTCTCTATTCGTGTTCGCTTAAGTCGTCCAGAGAAAAGGAATCGTTGCGTTCTAGCACGAATTCTGATTTAGAGGCGTTCAATCATAATCCAACAGATGGTAGCTTCGCACCATTGTCTTTTCAGGCAAGTGCATTAGCTAATTGTCTGAATCTGCGGTTCCTCTCGTACTGAGCAGAATTACTATTGCAACAACCATTCAACAGCAGGGTAAAACTAACCTGTCTCACGACGGTCTAAACCCAGCTCACGTTCCGTATTGGCGGGTGAACAATCCGACGCTCGGCGAATTTTGCTTCGCAATGATAGGAAGAGCCGACATCGAAGAATCAAAAAGCAACGTCGCTATGAACGCTTGGCTGCCACAAGCCAGTTATTCCCCCACACACGTATACGTTAATATAACCTTTCAATTTACACCACAATAATACTTTATTTTTCCCTTTAGATCTTAGACCTACTGAGTATACACATATCTCATTATATATGCAATATGTATATATATATATATATATTGTAACTTTTCTGGTGAAAAAAATTTCGCATCTAAAGTGACTTATTTGTAAAGTTTGGAAACAGGAGTTTCACGCTATGTAACATTTTCTGACTTTCTGCAGCAGGGAGGTGATTTCAGGGGGTGTGAAAATGGTCCTTGAAAGTACAAATTAAAATTCAAATTTAAGACATCCCGTAAGGCTTTGCGTTTTTGTAAATCGTAATGCCTTTTTTAGCTTTGTAATGCCTGTCGCCAGGGTTACACTTGAGCGAAAAGAGGAAACTGTAGATGTCCTCGTTCGTGAGTTACAGTCGGTCAAAAATGGCGGAAAATATGGTAATTTTTTTTCGATTTTCAAACGAGCGTTTTGTTTCCCCACCTAGAACGTCCAAATGGCCATTTTTGGGACCACTCGTTTTTTTTTAGACTTGTGGGAAACTGTGTAGTTCATGTGCGGAAAAGAAAGTAAATATGTAAACTATTTCGTTTTTTATAACGTCTCAAACATGGCCACCGTAAAATGACAATTTTTCAAAATGACGAATTTTGCTTATTTCAACAACGAATAGATTTATATACTTTGGGTTCGAGGGCGGATGAGGTATACCCTTACAGACTTTAAGAATGTGTGAACACATTGTTAAAGTTGTAGTTGGGGTAATGATCGAGGTTACGTTTTGATGATGTGTCAAACATATCTCTTTTAGCATATTCGCATGCTGAACTACCATATTAAATGCAAAAACGCGAAATTCAAAGGGAATTTTCTTTCTTGGGTTGCATAAATATTCCTTAAATTTACGTTATTGTAAAAGATAAAACTTCTTTATCTGTCATACTAAAGTACAAAGTGTTTTGAGTTAAACCTACTTTTTCCAGGGGAGTGTAAACTCAGCTAAAATGAATGAAAATTGTTAAAACGCGATTTTTAGTACCGCTGAAAAAGGGTGTTTCTTTGCTCAGAAGACGTTAGCGTGGACATACATCTCTTGACTGGACGGCATGAACAAGTATGTTTTTTTTCTTTCAGGAGTCGAACAAACATGGCTTGTTTTTTGTTACAGGGAATAAGCAAGGCAGCGGAAACATCCTTGAAAAAGACCTGTGTGAAAATGTTGAATTTTTTACCTATTACAGAATAAAGTTGATTTAAAAATGTATTTACAGGCTCAAAGTGAGAAAAATAATGAGTTTGGTGAAATAAATGTTTCTTTCCTGAAAGTATTTCACAAAATAAATTATTAGTTCTTTTCCATTGCCAATCTTTTTTTCTTTGGGAGTTGTATTGCAGATTTTAATTGTAAAAGGTAATTTGGTATAGTTCTGGAAATGCTGTGAACCACTTTCTGAGAAAAGAACTTGTGACAGAGGTGCTTTTTTGTATTCCATGCTTTTCTATTTTGTATGAAGTTGGGCTGCTCTGCGTCTGGCTTCTCCAATATACATATATAATATATTTACATATATATGACGAATTTTCTCCCAATTTTTTACAAGTGTAATTGTTGAGAAGTAGACCACTGAAACAGAAAATAGGAAATATTATAAAAGTGTAATTAAGAGGTAAACTTGTGCTAATCAAAAGTTATTAATATGATTCTTTTCAAAATACTGTGCATATGTTACATGGAATACAAATAGTAAAATGACACAACAAATTTTCTATGTTTTACACTGTTAATGTGTATCCCACAATCATTATTAGCGTTTAACATTGTTTGTCACTGATTGACAAATTAGATATATTTTTTATAATAATAACATTGAAAACTTCAGTTCTTAAAATGGTAGAGGTTAGAAACGATTACAACTCAACCGGCAAACACTGTTCACTTCTGATTGGAGTTAAAAGTACCAAATCTGCAAGCTGTCGTACTCTGGACAGGGCTACGTAAGCCATGCCAGGAGGTATATGCAGAATGTCTAGCCACAAAATGACTTTATCAAGAGTTAACCCAACAGCTTTGGCAATGGTTAATGCATAACAAGGTGAAAATGGATAGCAAGTGCATGGTATTTTATCTTTGTCTAAGTAAGTAACAGGATATATTGGCACTATCTGTCCACCAGTGAGTTTCAAAAATATCGTTGCATTTCGAATACAGTGCACAGTAGCTTGTTGACCATTTACAACATTTAATGCTTTATTTCGATTTTGTGTAATCAGGACACGCATATTTCGATATATAGGACAGGGGTCTTGTTCGTTATCACATTGTACTGTTGTAAGAGGGATAGCATCTGAAAAAAGTTTGCTTATGGATATATTGTTAATTCTTCCGGCAGCATTCCGGGTAAATGTAAGCACAGTGGCAGTAAGATGTACATCTAAAGCAGCAGCTATTTGTTCATCACTGGGAGAAAAAGTGTCACACAAGACTCGACCATGTTGGATAGAATCAAGCAAATGTTGTGTTGGTTTCCAGTCGTGAATATGCGTCAGGAATTCTTTATATTTCTTATCCACAACACGGTACTGCGTCTTCAGTGAGTATCTCTGAACAAGACTGTAAAAGTTCTTGTCGGAAAAAATACTTGGAACCTGCTGAATTGTATTCTCAGGAGTATTCTCAATTGGTTGAATTTGTTTTGGGTCACCCGTTACAAGAACAACCGGTCTAACAATTAATTCAGATATAGTAGTAAGTATATGCCTTGCAATTCGTAGAGAAATCATGGATAATTCGTCTAAGACGATTAAATCATAACGCAAAAGGCCATGGTTAACTGTTGCTCTTTCGGAAGTGT